TAAGAAACCTCAAGAGAAACATCACATAAACCCAGAGAACAAGAAAATGAAATTTTAAAATAAAGTATGAGTTTCCTAATAGTCCTTCTTACTTCTATTTTTCATTTATGTGTATATATGTGTGTGTGTAATATACATAGAGTTCATATATAAATGTAAATTAATGTATATATTTTATACATAAAATATATATTCACATAAATTGTATATACTGTACATACGTATATAACCTTCTTTTTCGCATTAATGTCAATATGTGTCATCATGAACAAAACTTAATACTTTATAATTGCGTGTTCAGCCTTTGAGTGGAGAAAACTAAGAAAATGAATGTGAGCTCAGTCTTCCTGCCCCCAATCGCAATCAGTCTGAAAATGTTTTTAATGTTCACCTTTTTTCCTCTGTGTATTCATCAACACAGAACATTCCTCTAAATAATGTTTTTTAGACTATAATATTGAAAAAATTGAGAGTGGCGCCTGCTAAGCTATTCAGTCCCTATAATACATTAATTATACATGTATTTAAGTATGGTGTTCCCTACGATTATGAGATGTAGGAGAGATTTCCTCTGAGAAGTTCCTAAACATAGTGTCCCTCGTAAACAGTGGTATGCATTTCCAGGTGACAATAAGAGATTGTCAGCAATATTAAGCTCCTCACAGGTGACCGTGGTTAAGGAGGAACAGCTTGAAGCTCATTTCCTGAAGACCTCTGAACTACAGGTGAAAGCAATGATTTACGTTCATTCAATTTTGAAAAATAAACCAAAAATAGATGTGATTTTTGGATAAGCCTAAATTACGTAGTATTTTTCTTCCATTATTTTAGATGTAGAACTTAAGCAAATGTTATAATTAAAAAAAAAAATACAAAATACCTGACAGATGAACACAGGAACCTACGCAGTATGTGTTATTGAGTGAAGGCCGTGCTAGAACAAAATGAATATTGAAAACAAAGACTGTCGGAATCTCATTTTTAAATGTTTTGCTCAGAGGAAAGACTCTATTATTCATTATTATTTTATGCACCTATTACACAAAATATAAGCTATCTGTAAGTATTTGTGAAATTAAGTAAGAATTCTTTCCAAAATACTGTTGAAAAGAAAAAGGCAATGACATCTTTTGCGGAATCCTTAGAAAAACATTCCTCTCCAAGGAGTTTGGCTATTTCTGTTGTGTTTTCTGATGGGAGTCAGGGATCCACAGAAAATGCAAAGTAAACTATTATTGCCAGGAAGCATTTAAGTAAATAGGTAACGTGATTCTTAATTTGAATATCTCTAGTTGTTTATGTATATTGTACAAAACGGCTATAAATCAACTATGTTGTTTAATGAACCTTGTATTTAAAAAAGAAGAAAAAACACATAGGATAAGATTCCCTCAGCATTAAGAGCTAGCAAAAACTTTGTTGATTCTTCTGATATTCTTTTTTATATCGGGTAAAAGCAAAGCAAAACAAAATAAAAATCTATGTATTTCATTGTGTTTCCCTTTTGCTGGTACTTGAAGGAATTTTAGAACTAGGTTGTGTGCTATAAATGACTTGCCTTTGTACAGGATCTGTTATAATTATTCCGCTTCTCTCTCTTCATCACCAGAGCCCTGTCCTTTCACCCACATATTATGGTAAAAATGCAAATGAGTGAATGAGGAAAGGCATCTGCATACCTTGTAAAGAATCTCAAAAAACCCCTTTCTCTGGAATAGTAAAGCGTTTTTATGAAGTGATAGAAAATGTCTCAGTATTACTCAGTTAACAATTATGAAAAGAGTAATCATTCAATTTTCAAGTATTTTATTGGGGCATAGCATATGAACAGAAAAGTAAAGAAATCACAATTATTCTACAAAGTGCACATTGCTGTGTAAAACCACCCAGATCAAGAAAGAAATTACCATCTTTCTAGAAGTTTCCATCATGATCCCTTTTAATCATTACCTCTCCTAAATGTATTATTGTTACTGTCTCCGTAGATTAGTTTTGACTGATTTTGAAGGAATTTATATAAATTGAATTAAATTGTACGTATTCTTTTGTGACTAGTTTCTTTCGCTCAAGACGTTTGCCAGATACGTTAATGTGGTTGCATGTAGCAATAGTTGATTATTTTTTGTTGCTGTACTCTTTGCATGAATATTTCACAATTAATTTATCCTGTCTATTTTAAATGGACATTTGGGTTGTTTCTAGTGTAACTTCTTACAAACAATGCTGCTAATGACATTCTGATGCATATCTCTCGGTACGTATGCGTACTCGATTCTCTTGGAATTACCAGATCATGGGTTTTGCATGTGTTCGGCTTTAAAAGCTACTTCCAAACAGTTTTCCAAAACGGTTGTAACAACTTACACTCCCCTCAGAGCTGTACCAGGGATCCTGTTGCTCTACAGCCTCACCTACAGTTGGTATTGTCATTTTTTAAAAAATTCTAGACATTGTAGTGGACGAATAGTGGTTTTAATTGTTATTTCTCTGATGTCTAGTATTGATGTCATCTTTTCACATGCTTATTAGCCATTTAGATATCCTCCGTTATGAAGTGTGCTTGCTTAACTCCTTTGCCCATTTTTTTTTCAATTGAACTGAATATCTTTTTCTTGATTTATGAGTTCCTTGCATGTTCTGTGTGCACATATTTTGTCAGACTATATATTGCAAATATTTTCTCCCACTCTGTAGCCTGTATTTCCTTTCACTCAGTGAGTTTATTTTTTTATAGACACTTTTTTTTTAATTTATTTTATTTTATTTTATTTTGTGAGGAAGATCAGCCCTGAGCTGACATCTATGGCCAATCCTCCTCCTTTTTTTTTTTTTTTTCCCCTTTTTCTCCCCAAAGCCCCAGTAGATAGTTGTATGTCATAGTTGCACATCCTTCTAGTTGCTGTATGTGGGATGCGGTCTCAGCATGGCCGGAGAAGCGGTGCATCAGTGCACACCCGGGATCCGAACCTGGGCCGCCGGTAGCAGCGCACACACACTTAACCGCTAAGCCAAGGGGCCGGCACCTCAGTGAGCTTGTTAAGAAACACACACACACAATTATTTTATACATAGGAAAAAGAAAGAAACCATGTTAAGTTCCTGGTATATAGTAGAAGCTCAATAAATATGTCTTGAATTAAACCAAAAATGACAGTATACGTTTCACTTGTGTTCAATGAAATTCTTATCAAAATATTGCCTCAATATTTTGTTCAACATAGTAATGGCAGTTTTCTAGGGGAAAAAATCATGATTAAGAAAATTTTTGAAATATCTCAGAGGTTTATGTATTTTCCACTGACCAATGAAGAGAAGTATGGTTTAACATTTCTAAAAATTATGAAGAACTGTTAGCAGGTTTTTTGAAATTATTAATCCAGGTAAATATACCATACACCATTATACTTTCAACATGATTTCTAACTCAAGAAGATATATTTAGGGAAAGAAACATTGAAAGGATAAAAATATTAAATAGCAGAATAGGAAATGGAAAAAGAATTGTATCTCATTGGAAGTGTTTAAGAGTTTAGAACAAGCCTATTTCATGTGGAATGCAATGTTCACAATCATGTTTAACAGATGTACCAGGAAGATCACTCAATTACCACACAGCCGTTTATAATTAAAAAAACATAAAGCTTTATTTGCAAACTTCCTTGGACAGTATTTCTGGATTTGTTGTTAAATAAGTTGCTTGAAATCCCAATAAAAATCTCCACAGCAGACAGGAGTGTGAATACAGTACTATGCATATGAAGTGTCTCTTGTACTTTGAAAACTGCTTGGTTGGAGGAATATACATAAATCTCTATCAACAAAGCAAGCATTTTAAAATGTCATTTTAATTTTGTGAATACTTTTATGGCTCTTAAATATTTCAATGGTTACAATCAATTAGGGAATCTATTAACATTTCCTATTGTAAACTCTATCATGTCATAAATATATATTACTTCTCAAGGTGAAATAATAAAAAAGACCATTTAAAGAATGATACATTCCTTTAAAGATCAGCCTTTTAACAGTGGTCTAAAAGAAGTACTTCTGCAACAATTTCACTAATATGGTCGACCACTGACATCTATTGGTAGACAAGGTTTGGTTAACTTATAAATGCAGATAGGATTTTTTTGATGGCTCTAGTTTGAATATTAAAAGTTGATTTAGAAACCAATGTTTGGCTATAGTTTTGGTTAAGTTATGTAAGGATGTGACTATTTAAAATATATAGCCCCAAATACTGGAGTTAAATTTTAGAAGTGGCCTAAATAGCTGTTTATATTTTTTCCCTCATAAGATTACAAATTAGAAAGAAAGCCAATTTTGTTGTTATAAAAAAGATTAAACACCTGGTTTTAGAACCAGTTTCAAATTTGGGGAACTTTATTTTCTAATTCGCCAAAAGGTTAGTTAACTCAGCAAATAAACGGTATTGCTAACTCTAAGAAAAGAAAAGGTGTCTTCTTAAATTTTCAAGCAAATCAGGTCGTAGTTTCATTTCTTGACTTTTCATTGTCTTCATTCCGTGCTTTAACCTTCCTCTCCCAGTAAGGACCACTTCCTTGACTTATCCAGAGACTTCTCCTAGTATTTTATAACTTCAAGACAATAATACACAATCAAGGTGCCTTTACACTAGCAGGCTTCTGGGTGTAATAGCATTCATTTATACATTCAACAAAGAGTTTCTAAATGTCTCTACATAGTACAAAATGTTTTAGTTTCCAGAATCAAAAATACATAATACAGACAAAAATGGCAATTTTCCTGGAGTTTTACATTCAAGAAGTGAGAGAGAGAAAATAAACAGAAAAATGAAAGAAATGGTATAGTACAGCAGGCAGTGATAACTGCTATTACATGTATGGATAAAATAATGCAGGGAAGGGGAATAAAGGTAATTAAGGAGGAGACAGGCTGCGGAGTGGTAGCCATATTAAGTGTAGTGCTCAGGTAAGGCACACGACATTTGAGGAAATCAGGTGAATTAGTAAGTCATGGAGACGGCTAGAGAAGAAATGTCCAGAAAGAAGGAGAAGCAAGCTGAGGAAGAAGAGGGCCTGGAAAGGTGGAAAACAGTAAGTAGACCCAAGTGGCTAGGGTAGAGTGAGAAAAAGTTGTGTAACAGGAGACAGTGTCAGAGAGGCAACAGGGGGACAAATTCTGTTGGCTTTCAGCCCGCTCTAGGACATGGCTTTAACTCTGAGAGAGATGAAAAGCCATGAGAAGGTTTGAGTGGAGGAGAACGTGATCTGACTTACATTTTAAAAGGGTTGGCCAGGTTGGCAGATTGAGAACCGACTGTAGAGGGAAAGACAACTGCGGTAATCCAGGTGAGAGGCAGCTATAGCTTCAATCATCACCAATGGTGGTGACAGAGGTGAGTAAAAATAGGCGGGTGGAGATATTTTGAAAGTAGCATCAAAAGGATTTGGTAACTGAATAGGTGAAAGAAAAAAAATCAAAAGAAAAGTCTACAAGCAAAATGAAAATTACTCCTTCTCTGCAAGTACCAGAACAACCCTAATGAGATACTCAAAGGTTATTCTTTCTTTATTTGCACTTAAATATGTGATAGCTTAGTATAATAAGAATCTGATAGCTTTCTGAAATCAGGGGCATTGAATTACTTCTTTTGTAAGAGTTCCATGGCCATGGGAGTTGGAAATGAAAAATCTATTATCTTTCCAAGTATATCTCAGACACCTAATAAAACACGATTCCAATTTTGTTAATATGATAGGATTGAATTGTTCCCTGTGAGCATTTACTAAATCTGTTTTCCAAAAGCCTTTTCCTCAAGTCATAAGACATTCATTATTAGAACCCCAGTTCCCTTTAACTATAAAATTCCAACTGAAAATTCAAAACATAAAATGGTTGCCTAATTAATCAGAGCATCAATATTAAATCCAGATTTAGATCATGAAGTGAGTAGAGACCTTCAATGGCAACACATTTCAATTCCATAGAGTTTGTAATTTGGACACTTGATTTCTTTCAAAGGCATTCTGTCGGCCAAGTTCCCTGATAGCCACCTCTGCCTCAATTATGAGATCCGGATGTGTAATCATCAGCTCCACATGAGACACTCTGGGTGGCCACTCTAATTTTCTTGTTTTTCCTCCAACTCATTTTGTATGTCTAAAACTGGTCATAAATTCTCTATCATGCTATTACTCTCTCTATCCACTTTGTGCAGACCTTTTTAGGGAAGTTCCAAAAAAATTACATCCTTCAAAACATTCCCTTGAAGTTTTTCGCAAATAATTTTTATTGGAATACCTACTTCTTTACTGTTGCTGTTGTACTTTTTCTTTTACAATGCTGTCTCCTTAGACATTTATCCCAACTTCACTCTGTGCACTTCTTGATCACTTTATTCATTTCAACTTCATGCACTTACATTAGTCAATTCTAAGTGCAGTTATCTTGGAAATAAAAGTCCCTTAAAAAACAATCTGTTATTATACAGAGTAACTCAAAACGAAGATAGTTCTGTTTAAAACTGCATTTCGTGTGTGTGTGTGTGTGTGTGTGTGTGTGTGTATTCTTTTAAAGAGCTTTAAAATTTTCTTTTTTTTCTTGATTCTGACCTTCCATTTTCAATATCCTTTGCTTCTCACTGGATTGTGAATGTGCCCTTTCCCTGTGTCTGAAAATCTTTCAACCTTCACCATTCATTCTAAGAATCAGCAATGTGTTATGTTTTTACAGAACCTTTCTTCCAGGGAACAGAGAGTGTTTCATATATATTACCACATTCATCCTTAAAATTTCTCTCACAACACCCATAGCGCTGGCTAAACTATGCCTCGGTTGAAACCTCAATCCGTATCATTAGTCCTTCCTTCCTTGACTGCCTTTCCTATAAACTCTGTAAATCACATTTTCAGAATCCTGCATCTGTAGAAAATAAGCATAATTCTATCACTCAAATGATTTTTCTTTCTAACCTTGTTCTCAGGATTCACCATCTTTATTTCAAAACTGTACCACGGTCTACCTGGTAGGTGTTGTCACCAAGGTTTTGCTACATCTCTCCGGAACGTCTCTTCCTTCTCATGAAAGTGAAATAACTTGTTGATATTATTGACTTGAAAACATGTTGTACATGCTTTCTTCTCAACCATGGCACTTATCTTTGCTCTAAATTATAGTTGTGTCCTTTTTACTTTATTTTCTTTTTCCACTAATGATTAAAACTCATATTCTAAATTTTATGTAATTTTTTATGTACATACCAAACTCATGTTTTAAAATGTTGATCCCTTGGTAGTCATAGTCAGCATTTGTTAACGTTTACCATGAAGCACTTTGATAAATGCTCAGGTAAATTGCCTCATTTAATCCTTACTATAAGTGTAAGAGCTCAGTTCTATTTTCTATACATTAGAGATCGAAAAATCTAAGGTTGTCAAAGGTTAAATAATTTGCCCAAGGATGTACATGGTAAGTAGTTGAACAAGGGCTTGGACTCAGGAGCCAAAATACATCACTATTTGTCACTCTACATAGTCTCGTTACACAATTATCTTAGATTGAAAGTTAAAAAAATAGCGATATTACTTTTTTTCAGAATTCATCAATTACCTACAAAACACCGTATTTAGGGGCTAAGTTCTGAGCTCGAAATGGTTCAGCAAATCATTCTGAAATCTATTTGCTTAGACAAAATTACCAGTGCTCAATGTAAAAGTTTTTTCAGACTTAAGCCATTATCTTTAATCAGACTTAAAATAATTACCATCAAAATGTATTTTAAAGCGAAATAAAACCATTAGAGAGAACTTAAGAGGAAAGAGATATTCTATAGAGGATATGCTTCCTATTTTTATGTCCTCAGCCATCCAGTTCCCTGTTTTGTTTTACTTCTTTTAACAAAATGGCCTGCTTATATTAGTTAAAGGTAATCTGTTAGAGATGGCCTACTTCATTACATGGCATTGGGTTTTCCCTTGGATTTCTTAATTCTGAGGACTTAATCAGCATTTCTATGTGAACCGGTTTCTTCTCATGAAGCTCATTTTTCTTCAGTCACTTTATGTAGCTCCCTAGGAACAAAGAATCATGTTAAGTATATAGACACTGAGACAAAAGCAAAAATTAATAATCCACTTTAAGGATTGTTTGGGTAAAGCTAATGATTGTGCTAAATATTTTCCTTTATAGATATATCACATTTCATACACTACACACAGAAGATATATTTAACAGAGTAAAGTGCCAAGTGAACTACCAAATAAAGAAATACGAATATATTTCCCATGGGATGTAATTCTTATATTACTTAATTTCAGGGTACGTGAGAGAGGAAAGAAAGAGTTAATTATTTGAACTAAAACGCCAAAAGATCAAGAGTAAAAATGTGACAAACTAATCTATTTGGCTTTCTGATATGTCAGTGTTACAGCACAGAAGATAAACCATGTTCCATAAATTAACCATTAATGTCTCTAGATCCTTGGATAGGATGGGCGTTAAAGGTGATCTCAGTGAAACAGCCGATATTTTATTGATACAAGAAAGATTCAAATGATCCGGGCAGATGAAGTGGTTATCTCTTCCTCTTTCAGCACTTCAAGTATCTCTCTCCAATTTTAGTCTCTTCCCTTTAAAAAAAATACTATAGTGTGACAATTTCCCTTCAAGTCTACTTGACTTGATAAAGATGGTGCTTATGCATTAAAAATTATTTCTTGATTAGCTGAAATCATAAAAATACTACGTAGCTTTTAAGCATTTTAAATGTCCTTCAGATAAGCTTTGAATCACTGAAACTAAAGGCTATAAACCTTGCAGATGTAAAATAAAAGATAAATTTCCTATGCAAATATTTATACCATATGAAAGCCATGCAAATGCTGCTTTCAGAAGGAAAAAAAGCCTTGTTTTTTTTTTCTCAAATTAAGCCCTTTCCTCAGAGCACAATTGCAAAGTAAAGATTTACATATTTTTAACTGAAAACATAATTTCCATATCACAAGGTAAGTGACTTCACAATGTGAAGATTTCAGGACCCTGACACGTACAGGTACCAGGTCATTAAAAAAAAGAGACTCAGATAGTCGAGGTTATTGTTGAACTTGATTTATTATACATTTGGTAGAAACACCACCCAGATCCTCAAATTAAAACTAACTAAAATCTAAATATCTTGAGTATGGAATGGATTCAGTGGTGTTTAGCTATTAAACTTGACCTCAAAAATAATGCAGTTAGATGAAGATTGTGTAGGAAAAATAATACATCATAGGGGATATGTCAATATAGCAAAGATTCCACTTGGAAAAAAATTCATCTAAAAGAAGCACAGATTCTCCCATCCATCCTGTCAACAAAGAAGGAATCAAGAGCGAGAAGGAAAGCGATTTTCCCTGCATTGCACTTGTGTGAGTATAAAGAGATTTAAACTCTGTTATATAAATGAACTTGCTATAAAGATTAAAATGATGACACTTAAAGATAAAAATGCCAAATATTAGATCCTATTCATCAAACTCAGCAAGTTTAGAATCATAAAAGGAAAAACTTTTACTAGCTATTCATTTGGTAACATTTGCACTAAATAATATATTGTCACAGATTGTCAGAGAACTGACACTCTGCCAAGCAGTCTTTGATTCAAATTTGTAAGAGAGTAAGATGCAACATGGATATCTGACTCCACAGGGAGGAAAAAAAAGACACAAGACATAAGATCATAGAACCCATAGAATTTCAGAGCTAGAAGAAATGTAAAAATCTATCTCTACTTTTTCCTATATCTTTGTGGAAAAGCAACTAGAATAAGTAATGGTAAGATCTTAGTCACGGGCACACAATTAGTATGTGGCTCGTTACCATACTCTAAACTAATGTACTATACAAATGCAGAAAATGTGAGCAGGATGTTATAGATAGCACACAAAAGCATATTAAATATAAAATTACTCCTTCTAAGTCTGTATTTATATATAGTTCAAATAATTTAAGCAGAACCTAAAAGGATGAAAGTACTACTCTTACACTGTTTAAGGTTTTAAAGATATATTTAAATTAGTATTTTCACTATTCTTCAACTTTTTATTTTTAAAAT